ATTATTATATAAAAAGGTAGGGTAAAGAATAAAATAAAAATTATTTAATGATAATAAAGGGCGGAATGAGAGAAAAAGACAAGGTACCACACCAAGTCGGTCGTCACATAAAGTGGCACTTTTCATCGTTACGTAACGACGGATTTAGCGATATGATACAATAAAATTTAAGTAATAATCAAAATAAACACTATATTTAAAGTAACAATACAATACAACGATTAACAACGATCCAACCAAGTTGTAACCTTCACAGCTAAATTACTATTTTCGGTCCAAAAAAAGTATCTCTTTAGCCAACTCAATTTGGTCCAAAAATAAAGTCTCTTTTGGAAATTAAGAAGACATTAAATATCGTTTTGAGATATACCCTTAATCCATTACATGATATAAGAAGTATAAGGAGAAATAGAGGGTAATTTGATGAGATAAAAATCTAGTCAAATAATTTCTATGATTAATGTTATTTCTTAATAGGTACTCAAAATCTTATAGGTTTGGAAGTAACACTGATCCATCATCCATGTCATTCGTAGTAAACAAAGATACCTAATTCTTTTGCTAGTACAACTAATAAGTATTCGCGTAAATATTTTTGTACGGGGTAAAATTGGTTAACGACACCTGGACGAATGATGAAATGACACGCGAAACTAAAGACAGGTAAGATATGAGTCAACAAGTAGTTTGCACTGGATACAAGCATGTGACCGATGCTGGATGAATTCCGAAGACAGGGGAACCAATAACAAAGATTTGAAGGGGTGATATCGGATAGCATTCAGTGAGCAGCCGTTACAGAGAATATATACATTTATAGCTAACCGTTATGCAACATCAATGACGGTTTCATTCTCATTCAAGAGGAGCTTGATTTGGGAATCTTATCTCCCTAAATAGAGCAATAAATAAGAGAATTAGTATCCAGTATAGGACATGAAACATTATCTTCAGAAAAGCTAAAATCAGCTCTCATTCTATAACACTATTCTTTTACTTTGTTCTTAATATTATTTTCGCTTATGCTGCTGGAGTAGCTAATTCATAGCCAGGCTTGAATTCCTTTAAAGTTTATTTTATAATCTTATCTCTGTTCTTATTTATGTTATATTTCTGAGTCAAATAATTTACGTGTTATAAATTTAAGTTTACGGTAAACAAATTTGACAAGGCATGCGGATTAAGTTTTGCAGGTGAAAAACACATTGTGCGGACAAAGACGAATGAATATACACAAAATTCTCTCAAGAAAGGCAATGGCCAACCATCTGTCATAATTGACCATTCTCCTCGCCTATCTCTTTCTCTCTCTCCTCCTTTTACTTTTTCTCCAAATCGAAACACACAAAGAGGAGAGACACCTCTTCTCGACTAAGGGATTTCTTTTCTTTGGTCGAGTTAGGAGGACCCAAATTGACAAAAATCGAATCAAAGACACTTAATTATGTCGTGCGATAAGATTGATGGGCTGGCGAGGTGGTTCGGGACGAGTGTGGCCTCGGCATTCTTCGCCTCGTTGGAGCGATGCGCGTGCGTCAATCTCACCACCTACGCATCTGATGATGAGGAAGAGGAAGAAGCTAAAGATCGCCCTTTGTTTATGAACAATTTGCCTTCTCATGTTGATCCTTGTCCTCACTCTAACATTTCTGCCTCATCCGTCGATAATTGACTCTCCTCTCCTCTCCTCTCCTCTCCTCTCCTCTCCTCTCCTGGTATATTATTTTCATAATTGTACGAGCATTAATTTTGATCTGTTGCCTTTCTGCAAATTATACAATCTATTTGGATGTATGTTTTCCTCTTCTGAATATCAAATTTAGTGTCTGTCCTTTTTTTTTTTTTTTTTTTATATTTTAATTAATTAATCAGACAACTAAATTAGTTTATAAATCCTATATATCTATTGCTGCCTACGTCTTTGTTTAGATGGAATGTTTGTTGCAAGTTCTCTCTAGCTAGCTACTGCAAGGGTAGGAAGAGATGTAGTATTTCACCTTGCATTTCTGAGAATGCTGTTTCCATGCCTCCAAGCTCTGATCTATAAGAGTAACTCTACTATTGCGCTAAAGCTCGCTCTCATATAGACTAGTTATTAACTTTAGGAAAATTAACTACTCCATATCATATGGAATGGTAGGTTTTATTTTGCATTCTAGCTGAAAAAGGGATTAAGGAACAAATGAAGAGAATGGAGTTAAAGGATTAATGGACTTATGCTTCTAAGTGCATCTATAGAGGAGCTATCTCTCATAGTTGGTTGGACATTGGATCTGAACAAAGATTTCTTTGAAAACTAACTTGGGCTGTTAGAGAATTGGCGTGGCAGGCTTGTTTCATTCTTAGTGCATGCCAAATTGCTAATGCTTCCTCGTGTGCAGAAAAAGAGAAAATACATTTGTTATTCCAAATGTTTCCTTTAGGAATTAATAGATTGTTGAACGTATTATGACGTTGTAGCGCAGGGAGTTTGCACAATGTATCGTAAAAGAATCCGATTCACATAGATAATAGCAATTTATCATCAGATTTCTTAGTTTAAATATAAGATCATCTGTTGTAGATGGACACTATCTTTTGTTACTTTGTTTATCACAGTACTTGGATGGCTACCCAGGATTTATTATCTCAGAAAGAAAAAACTGAGTTTACTAGGATTCTGTAATTGTTTACTCTAGCTTGCAAAGGAAGTTGCCCTTGGATCTCTGGATGGATTAATTCAATTGGTTAGATTGTGCCTGTTAGAGGAGCATTTGAAAACCATAAGTCTCAAAGTCAAGAAGCTTTTAGACAGTTGGCTTTATGTTGGTGCTTTTATGTGTGGTTGGAATTTCTAAATACTCCTACCAGATATTTTGTTAATACTAGCAGATTTCGATGTACATGTCAAGGAAAACCTGCACCATGGAGCTTATGCTTGGTGAAATTCAGATATCATCTTGTCCAAATCAATCACTTAACTACTGTTTGACTGTTCATTTTGACACAAAAGTGAGTAGGTTCTAGGAATATGACATTTGGTTATTAAATTTTGTTGATGGAGAATGAGACAAATCTTCTTGTCGCTGGGACATATACTATTAGATTAGATGCATGACACCAAATTAAGTGGTGCTTTCCATGTTTACAGGTTGTCTTGATGAAGCCCACATAGTATTGTGCGGAAAATAAAAATGAACTCCCCACCCCATCTCATAATGTTTGCTTCTTTGCCTTTGGTCATTGTCAAAATTTTGTAGCCCTATCTCTACTAACAACCTTTTTTTTTCCAGATCTGGCATCACCGATTTCATCATATTAATCCTTTGGCTCCAACGGAAATGTAATTAACTGTAATATTCTTTTTTTTCTTATAGACGATTTTTCAATTTAAGTGTTGTATGAGGTGTTTTTCCTTTGGTCAGTTTTGTTACAAGGTCAAACATTTAAGCACGTACAAGACACCTTTTATTGTTCCTTTACCTCGCAATTCTTCAACAAGAGTTTTGCTTGCTCTAGGAAACTAGCAAATGCCAGTAAGAGGCTGTTGTACTTCATGTTAGCAGTGCAAAATTGGCCCTCTGTAGCATTGGCAAATGGCAACATGTTCGAGGCAATTATAAATTTGTGGTTGTAGGGTTATACTAGAGTAATATTATTTTTCATTACTCTATTTAAGCAAACTTCTAAATGAACCAGATTAAAACCCCAATAGGTAACGAATTACAGCTTCTGTGGTTGTAGGTTAATAGGTTTACTTTAAAGTTTGTTTACTTCTTTCTTATCCTCAAAGTATATTTACTTAAGCAAACATCTTCATGAACCAGAACAAAACGCAATAGGTAACAAATTGTGCTTAATATGTGGTTATTACTCAATTTATCCATCTTCTATGCTGATTATGATTCAGAGAAAACTAGCAAGTTATCTTTTTTACTTGACTCGCCTTTTGATATCGAGAGGGGTGAATGGTGATGAGTGAACCTAGTCAAGGAAGTGAAAACGCAAGGGTACCCCTTTAGAATGAATGCACGTAATTGGTTTCATGGAAAGGGACTTTTTGAGGGTGATTTTAGTGGAATGTCCACAAAATTGGCGGTATTTAAAAATAACCCGGACCCGCACAAGTTTTTTAGGGGTTTCTCTACCGGATTAAATTGTTCATCGAAGTTTACCGAATTATCATACTATTGCTCTTCAGGATTTCTATACCAACCCGATAGAGTTGATGCTATTATTACTCTACCTATCTATTAAGTTGTTTATTGAAATCTACCAGATTGTCATGATTCTTCTTTTCAGGGATTTCTCTACTGGATCGGTAGAATTGATGCTATATTTTGTCTACCTCTTCATTAAATTGTTCATCAAAGTCTACCAGATTGGCGTACCTTTTTGGGTTGTGTTAACTAAGTGTTCTGCAAATCTGCAACTTCAATTTCGATCAAACAACCCCAAAATCTTAATCTCAAATTTGAAACAAAGCTTTCAAATACCAACACAAGTAATCCTCAATCACCAATATAGTCAAAACACCAAATCACCAACTATCACCAATTTAATCAAAGAGACTCATTTTGTCTTCTTTAGCACTTTCTAAGGTTCAACAATGGAGTTTCAATTTTTGCTGTAAATCACCAAAATATGTGTTTGAACTAAAAGTTTAAGCACAAAATATTAACATTCAAACGATTTTAGTAATAGTCGATCATTAACTTTTGTTTTTCACCATCAAACAAGAATTTCAAACTTTAAAAATTAAAGAACTATGGTGTTCAAAGAGAAAGGGGAACATTTTGCTAAGACTATCAAATATGGGGACATTCTGCCAAGACCATCCCCTTTTTGGGGATCACGCCGTGCTAATTTCCGCTAATAATGTAGACAGTTAATTAGAATTTTGATTGGGCCATCCTTTGAGCCCAAAAGGAAACCCGAGGGATGACTATATATCAGATTTGCTGACTAATAATAGGGTAGTAGCTTCAACATGCATGCAAATTGGCTCGTAGTCACCAGAATACAGCAAGGAATAACAATTATCTCATATTGCAAAAACTACAATGATGACACTAGGAACAAAATTGTTGAACCTTAAAATAAGGTTCAGCTGCTATTTTCAATTTTACAGGAGAGCGCTCAGCTCTATGCATATACAAGGCATATACACTAATAACTACTGATTTCTGTACAGAATAAATCAATGAAGTCACATACCTCACACTTCTGTGTTTTATAGCAACATTGTGACACTACTAATTACAATTTTGGAGCTGTAAATTTGAAAATGCGATCTATGTTAGTGTAACAACGTTACCAGCAACATTGGCCCCCAGGACTTTGGTCTAGTGGTAAGAAAGCAGAGCATATGTTTGGGTTAGGCGCACATCACAAATTCAAACTCAGCCGCAAAATAAAGCCTAGTATTTAAGTGGAGAATGATAAAGGGACGGACCCATTATCCATTGTATTTTGAACCATACACTAACTGACTAAGTCAAGGTAGAGGAGCGGACCCCTACTATCCATCAAGTTTCGAAACCAACTGGCCTTTGAGGATTCCTCTGTTATCCAAAAATAAGACCATGTAACCAGCAGCCTCTGTAAAATGAACCTCCCACTTTGACTAGAAAAGGCATGCTGTTCCAAGCAGAGGTAGAGCAGAGCACCAGCCACAAAGCATTCTAACTTTATTAGCAACTCACATTAGCACAGAGATCTCATGCACGTTTAGTTGCTACAACACTCCAATTCGGCAGGAAGTGGCCCACTCACCTTCAATGGACTGACCGACTGTATGGCAGACAACAATTCAATCATTCAGAACAGCCAGCATGCCATAAAAGATGAAGTTCCCCACCATTTCTCCTTGAGAAAATTACAGCCACTAGCTCCTTCCCTGGTCTCACTTAAATAACAAAGGAAAGAGATTATGAAAGGTCCCGCAGGCACCTCATATGGATAAGCATACCATGTTGACCTCTCCTTGTGTATTCATTTCTTTCCAGTGACAGTGGATAAATGGCTCTTGTAAATTAAAATTAGGCTGTTATCTCAAAAATGGGATAAGGCAAATCTGAGATATTTACCAACTAGTGGCCAGATCAGGTATATAAGCAAACTCTGATATGACTTGCTAAAACCTGAAGGGACCAGTCAAACATGATTTCTCATATGGACCTCTCGCTGCAACAGTAAACTCTGTCGAGTAGTTCTATCACAAAGGATATTACAGAGTTTCCCTGATCCAGAAAGGAGGTGCCACACGAGGAGATAACGTCCACTTTCTTGAAAACCCTGAATGCAATACTTCTCAAAGTGGCGAAGGCAATCCATAATTATGAAATGACCTTATTCGCCCATCATAGCCTGCAGTAACAATAACTAAACCCCAGGCATGAGAACGGGATGAACTCTGGCAAGAACGTTTCAGAAACTTGTAATGAGATTTACACATTGCAGAAGGCACAGACCGAGGATGTGACACAGGGAGCTTCTCTTCAGGCCAGGTTGCAGATCCCTTGGGAATTGCCTCTAAGAACAGCTCTTGTCCTAAAGAGAACCAAGGAGAAGCAGGGAACGGGAAATTTGTTAAGCTTTGACTTAGTCTTTGTGAGTGACACCGGTTTTCATGGTTGACATTTTTCAAACCAGACCAAGGTATTGCAATGGTCGCATCGCCATTGAAGCACTCAAATGATCTCACTGTTCCAGGTTGAGACACAGAAGACTCTTCTGGAATGTGGAAGTTCCATAGATAGACATTAGAATCTTCTGACGCAGAGATAATATGCTTCCCATCTGAGGTGAAAGCAGCAGAGAGATGGCTTCCTGCATTTCTTAGGCCTAGAGAAGTAAAGTAGCAAGAAAGTTAGAGAAGGGACAATGGAGAAACAAGTTAGAAATAAACACTCGATAGAGATATTATATGACCAACAAAACTTAACTACAAAATAAATTAGGTTGACCGCAAGTCCCATAATTGCAGACAATCTCAATATCAACTACAAGGATTCCTTATTGACACGAAAAGAATGAGAAGCCACTCAAATGACAGGAAAATAGGCATACAAATAGGTTATTATCTAAAACTCGAGAAGGGAACATACCTCTGCACTTGCCGATCACATTGATCCCACTAAGGATTCTTACTTGGGAGTCAGCACAAGTAACAATTACTTTAGTTGGGTCTTCTGGTAGAAACTGCATAGAAGTAATGATTTATCAGCATCTTATTACATTGCTAACCAGAAAATGTAATGCAGTATGGCCAATGGTATCTGCGTGATGTATACTAACCTGAAAGCCACTAATTCTTTTGCAAAGTGACTTCTTCTTACTGCCCAATGACATCCGCTCCTCCAGTTGGATCTTGTGATCTGTGACGGTCCAAAAACATTAAAAAAAAACATTTCAGCTTTGATGTAAACTCTGTCTAACAGACTATCCACACATTAGCCACAAAAACATGGACCACAATTCTCGGTCACTGTAAAGTGTAAACTATATTCGCATTCTCAGATGCTAATTTATATGATGCTCATACAAACTGATATTACAATCCGATAGTTCTACTACCACAAAGCCTGGAGAAAGAAAGAAAACTGAGCAATGGCCGGAATGACTGAAAAATCAAAAGACAGAAATGAAAAATAGCCACGCAGCCCACTCCAAAGTCCAAACACCCATTACAAAAGAAAAAAGAGAGAGGATAACTGGGCAGTTTGTTAATAATACTAATCAAAGAATAAAGATTCAAGTAGAAATAACATCTAGATGGTCAATCAATTGAAACAAAAGCAACAACTTGTAATAGTTCTCGAGTTCCTAACTGCAGGTGATCAATGCCAATTTTGGATCTATACCAAAGAAAAGAGGCAAAAATTTACCTATTAAACTAAAGAAGCAACATGCCCCTGCCATAGAGCCAATAATCCCACCCTACATGAGAAGTAGATAATGTTTTTGATGAATTGCTTGAATTTAGGAATCTATAATTGAAGTTAGTAACAGGAAAGACTGAGCATATTATTAGCATACCTTCCCATCAGGACGGTACGATACAGCAGTCACAATGTCTCTTATATCTTTCCAATCCACAACTTGACAGCTATTAATCGCCCAAATGCGAACTTTTCCATCTAATGAACCACTGATGAAGTAATCATCATTTACTGGATTAAATTGTATGGAAGTTACTGAAACAAAAAGAAAGAAAATAGTGAGTAATGGATTTGGAACTAAAACATCAGAAACTTAAAACTGTTGAATTGGAAAAATATAGGATGATCTCGCAAAAGGCTTGGCGCATACCATAATTACTGTGTGAGAAAACTTTGAGGCATTTATCACATCCAACTTGCCACAGACGAACAGTTTTGTCAGTTGATGATGAAAGCAAATACTGCAAGGAATATATTAATCACAAAAACAAAACTTGGTTAGATGCATAATTTTTTCAGAAAACTTTAATCAAGTAGAATGTAACTAACATACGTTGTTCTTTGACCATGAAACATCCAATATCTCCCCACTATGTCCTTCGAACACATGCAGCGGTTCTTCCAAAATCCGAAAGACCTTAGGAGGGAAAATAACACAGGACGATTCTGTTGTTTTCTTTAGGCCCCTCAATTTATTGATTCTCTCTTTCTCTGTCACCAAAGGAGACAGTTGGGATTGATGGTTCATCGAGAAGTACATGCAAGACGGATCCAACTCTGGAATGTCAATTTCGTTGGATCTCTCGTCTTCCACCACTTTCCATACACGCAAAATCTTATCTTCACCAGCACTGGCTAAGTATTGCCCATCAAGACTGAATTTCATAGTTAAGATTGAACCTTTATGAGCCTGGATATCTTGCTCCACAAAAAGAGCGGAGAGTTCCTTTAATCGCTTCTTGCGGTGGTGAACCTTAACCCTCTGAACTATAGATCTTTGAACAAGGCTGGAGCTGATGTCGGCCTTCACATTGTTACCTCTCCCTTTGCCATTTACAATGCACGTCAGTGATCGCAATTTACTTAACAAACGGCTCTTGACGCGGTTCAGTTTCCTCCCAGCATATCCACTGACCTCTAATTCCCGCTGTCCAATTTGCTGAATTTTGGGGGACATATATGAGTCCTCAGGCTCACTAGACATCAACTGTCGTTCCAATTTCACAGTTCTGTGGCTATTCTCAGCCAGATTATGTACATTGCAGTCGCTTCCACCAAGTGGATTACCATTCCGAAAAAGAAATGTCTCATTTGAATCCAACTCTTTATATGAACCGAAAACTCCAACAGGCAAATCAGAAGGAAATTCGTCTTTCAGAATTGAGGTTGGCAACATAGCCTCGCTATTGTCCAAAATCCGTTCAATCTCACAACTAGATAAATCAGAATTCTCATATACAGTCACTGGATCTTCTCCATCATTTACGTGTAAGTCCATCCAACTAAAGAATTTCCTTCGGCGCTCTTTAACAGTGGTAAGACTTGTAGTCCACACATCATAGGGGTAGCTACTGGTGACACAATTATCACTTCTTGAGGTAGACTTGAGCACCTGGGGATGGTAGTTGGAACCCAAATCAGAGAAGTGACCAATGTTCTCAGAGGCATCAAAAAATACACATTTTTCATCATCATCACTGAAGCTACCCATTACACCTTTGAGTTCACCCCATCAAACCCCAACCTCAAGAAACCAACCTTTTTTTAAGCCCTAGGCAATGTGCTGAATTATTGGGTCCACATAGACCTAAGAAACACAAAACAAAGAGAATCATAAAACACGACTACCAAGATAATAAGTAAAATGAAGCTCTACTTATTTTAACAACGAATAATAAAAAAATTACTGTATTAGTGTATCTAGTGGAAACAATGAAAATTGTAGTACGATAACCAAAAAAAACAAATAGATCCAGCATGGATCCCAATCCACACTCAGTAAACCTTGTCCCTCCACCACCAAAACACAATATAACTTCACAAAGTATAATTTCAAAAAACGGAACTTTTCTATCCTCTACTATAGCTTCTGTAGTTTCTATCTACATACAAATATTCACCGCAAGCTAGTTCCAACCAAAGGAATTAGCCAATACCCAGTAGTCATTTGCACCCAAAAATGAAAACCCACATAGCCTATTACCAGCATTAACACAAATAAATCACAGGAAAGAAAAAAAAATTTGCTCACATGAAGATTGAATGGATGAGATAAACAACTTATCTCACGCAGGCACACACAAAGAGTCACTCCACTCTGTCCTATGAAGAAGAACAATTTAAATTTAAAAACTGAGATGGAAAATAAGTAATGATTATGGAAGAAGAAGGGGGTTTAAACTGGGAAAATAAAAGAGGAAAAATTTGCCAAGAAAAGGAAAGGGAAGTTGGATGGAAATGTTTTTATTTTGTTTTTTCTGGATAGACGTGAATATGGTTGGACCGATAAACGAGATTTTGAGACTAGTAAAGGAAAGTAGGCTCTGTGCACCTGTTATACTTACTTCATATATAACATAATAAAATAATGTAATGTGTGTTTGTTGCGCCAGCCTATTTTGACCACCTTCCACAGCAGTGTCACAAGACTCATATAACAAACCCCCCCCCCCCCCCTAGTAAACTTATTGCAATATTTTATTTACTTCGTGGGATACCTATTTTCATGTAATTTTATCTATTCAAGGCGGCTCTTTCAAAAAACAAGTAAAGCAATTATTTTAGGTCCCATATTTTTGGGGGCCTCATTTTTGTTACACCTTATAAGATGTATATAAGATTTAAAAAAGGTTTTGTGAAGTGAAAAAGTTTGATTTCTTTCTTTAACAAGTATAGAGAAGAAGGATTTGCAACTGCTATGATTTCTGCCAAGAAAATTGCAGTTGAAGTAAATATCGAACCCGAATTTTGTATGAAACGTATGATATATAGGAAATAACAATTTGATAAGAATGTTGATAATAAAATCTCAAAATCTTTCGAAGAGTACTTTGGAGTTGATTACTTTATACATATTAGACAAGGCTATTTTTTTCACTTTAAAATAGATTTGAACAATTCGAAGCATATATAAATGTTTTTGGTTTTCTATTTAGCAGTAAAAATTGAGATAACTAGATGATGAAAATTTAAAAAAATATTCCCTTAATGTTGAATGTTCCTTAAACCATAATAATCAATTCGGTATTGGTGGTTTAGGTTTATTTTTAGAATTAAAAATATTAAGAAAAATAGTACAATTAGAAGATAACATTTTAATTGATACACTCGGTCAAATAAAAAAATTGATTCTTTTTTCAATGCCTATAATACTTATGGAATAATGTTAATAACTCTTGTTTCCGTCGTTTCAACAAAAAGAAAATCAAAATTAAAATTGATAAAATCTCACCTAAGATCAACAATGTCTCAATAAAGATTAAATGGATTAGCTACATTGTCAATTAAGAAAGACTTATTAGAAGTTATTGATTATAATTAAGAAAATTATTAATAACTTTGTATCTAAGAAACGCTAAAAAAACAAACTTCAATTAAATAAAAAAAATTTAAAAAAAAAAAAGTTAAGGCTCCTCATAAAGTTTGACTTTAGGTCACAAAATTCTTCGGGCCGCCCTGTATCTATCTATCAAAAAGGAAGAAATTATTTAATATTTTTTGTTTCCATCTAAATTTGAACATTAGAGCTCACGATTCTACTCACTTCTAGGATTTTATATTTTGCTTTCCTCTTTTCTTAAAAGAATATTTCACTAGGTATTCAATGAATTATATTTATAAGTTTATTTGGTTTCAATTACGGTTATTTTTAATGCGACTGTATTTTTGTGTTTCGAATATGTAGATTTACCACTCTCTTTTATATTGCTTGCACCAATAGATTGCTTCACATAAACTTTAGTTACATTTATCTATTTTCATAACTACTGCGGTTATAATTTTGCCCCATATATTTTTTTCATTGAGTTTTATCATAATCTAACTTGTGTTTTGATATCTATCAAAATCTTTGAACAACAACATCTTTCACAGAATTTAGTTTGCTAATTATAAAAGAAAATGCTAATGTTTTCTTTATGCCATATGGAAAGATATAAGCTTTTAGTTGGTAAATTGATAATGCCGAATATGTTGTGGTGTTTGAGAATATATCATATTGATCAAGTTATACCAATGATTAAAATAAGAAATTATTCTAAAATTTTAATTTTGTACAGAGAAAATATGAGATACTGATAATAGGTGAATTTGACTATAATCACACCTTAAATAATCACCTTCTTGTGTAGTTTTAATGCTAAAAGTGATGACAAAATGTTCTTATTAGTGCTTTTCATGATTTGTAGGTGATATATGTATAAGGAAGGCTAAGGAACAGTTTTGGAGTTAAAAGTGATGAAAAAGAGGCCAACTGTGAAATTTCCCAAGTGACCCATGCAAAACAGGCCGAGGAATTCAGAGTACTGGATCCACCGCGGTTCCACCGCGACCGCGGCAGAACCGCGGTGGGAAGCAGCTGCAGAAGATTGAGAATCCGCGAGGGTGTTTGGCTGCGGTTCTACCGCGACCGCGGCAGAACCGCGGCAGGCGCAGAAACTTCGGGGACCAAAGTGTCAATTACGGGATTTTTAGACCTAAAACCTATTTAAAACACTAGACTTCGACCAAGAGAGGCATGTATTGATTTTTTAGGTTTCTTAGCAAGGAAAACCATTGTGAGAAAATACTCTAAACATCTTTCTTCTTTTCTTTTGATTTTATGATGAATTCAATCTTAGTTTATTTTCCCATAGCCATGAATAGCTAAATTCCTTGTCTAAGGCTTTGATGGAACCTATTGGGTGATGAACTTCTTGTTTATGTGAATACAAATTGCTAGTTTAATCTTTATTTGTTCAACTTCGTGTTCGTTGTAGTTAATTGACAGGATCCTCAATTAGCTGTGCCTATTTAGTGTGCATAACTTGGAAAAGAGTGCATATTTAGGGTATTGTTGAACAACACCACTCCTAGATTATTAGAGGAATCTATAATTGCGGGTTTAAAGGCGGGATTAGGAATAACAAGGCCTTGGGTGCAATCTAAATTGAATTGTGCTAAATAAAGCAAGCTAGTGTATCTCGGGAGAGTGCAACAGTAGATTACTGTGATTACTCGGGAGAGAATTGCGGTAAGATTAGCGTTCATGATTGATAGAGATGTGTGGGTAAATTTGTATGAGCATAAACAGAAGGGATTCCATCAATAGGGGAAATCATTGCCTTAGCTTTTTCTCATAATTGCTTACAACCTTATTAATTTAGTTACAGCCATTAGTTACTTGCAAGCTAGTTGTTAAAGAACACTCAACTGAGAATTTGAATATTTGAGAAGCTGGTTCTGAAGACTTGGTGGGTCTGAAGATAGTGGTTGATAGGTTAACTCTCTGTGGATTCGACCCTGGGCGTAATACTCGGGTTATATTTGCAACGTCCGCAGAGTCCTTTTTATAAGGTATAGTTGGGCGTGATCAGATACAAACAAAGCAGAAGTATTCATATATTTTTTATACTCAATTTTTAAATTAATTGATAAGTTTTTGTTATCATTCCGAAGAAATTATTTGAAAGGGAAATGTATTAATCTTATTTTTCCGAAGATGAATGTAAATTTATGAAGTATGAGTAGATGAATCAATGTATTGGATTGTGAGAAAATGATTCAAGAATTCAAAGGGAATTAAGTGAGTATAGTCTATTCTTGTCCTCTTCCATATCTTAATGAAAAGTCTAACCCACAAATAATTCCATATCATTTGTGTAATTTCTAATGATAGACAAATAGAATGAAACGTGCTTGGTACTTGAAAAGTTGGATCATTTGTTTCTTATCCAATTAACTCTTTTCAGAATGTTGAAAAATTTATATTGAAAATTTTCTATATGTCTGAGGTTCATAATGAAAACGAACGCTCTTTGCCAATAATCTATTTTTTTTCCTCAGTATTTGGGAATTTATTTGGTGAGGTTTTAAGGGTTTAAATTTTAACAAATCAAGTGCAATGTACAATGGTCAAATTGGATCATTTTCGTCTAGGGATCTTGTACTTTTTCTTTGTCATGTGAAAATTAGAATTAATTCATGTTTATCTATTTTTATCTATGCAGGATGATCTTTTTTCGCACATTTCTACTCTTTTTTCTCTTTCAAACTAGGAGTGACATTTGACCAAGATGTGATCTAACTCTTTTCTTGATTATAGTGAAACTTTGATTTTATTTAGTGAGGAACCGTTTCACTCTGCTTTAAATGATCAAAGCTAAAAGATTCAGGTCAATGCATTATTTCTACATGGAGATAAACGTGTGTAAAATTATTTTAGTACCAAAGAACTTTGAAAAGTCCTATATTTCGTGCACGTACTATCAAGACATGTAGACCTTCTTTGGTGTTAGGACCGAAAAAGTCAGGTGTCATGCGGAAGCCAGCAAAGCAAACCTTGAAAGACGATAAGTCTGACAACAAAGAGAAATCTACCAAAAGAGACACAAACATATAACGTGGTTCGGTCAACTGACCTACATCCACGGCGGAGATGAGCAATCCACTATATAAAAAGAAGAGTACAAAATATCGAGAGAACAACCTCACGAAGAGGCAAACACAAGTGACACGCTAACACTTGTCCCATAAAGTTCTCTCCCTAAACAAGACTTTCAAGCCCCCTATGGCTACATTGTGGATGCTACTGAATGAGAAGGAAGTGATGTTATAAACGTCAATACCACACAAGAGGGGGGGTGATTTGTGTGGTACCTAATTTTCGCGTTAGAAGAACCTGGTTCTTCTAAGTGTTCTAACTACAGCAGTTTGCGGAATAATAAATACTGAAAGTAAAGTGCACAGAAATTTTTACGTGGAAAACACCTGGCTCAAAAGGTGAAAAAACCACGACCTACTACTCAGTAGGATTTTTCCAAACTCCACTAAAATCACTGAGCCAAAAACTGCATTTACAAAACTCTTTGTAAACCTAAGGATTAACTCTAATCCCAGTGTAGCACACAGCCTCAACTGTTGCGACACTTTCAAGTTAACTCTAACTTGAATACTCAGAGTACCTAATACAATTGCTTCTAAGAAAGCTGAAAGGTACAATATGAAAACCTACTACAATTGAACTAGACTTAGAATAAACACAATGATGAAACTGGTTCTTCTATCTTAGTTCATGTAGCTTCAGACGTGCACACTTGTATCTCGCATATGTTGCTTGCAAATCAGACTTGATCTTTTTGCTCTCAAATATGCTTAACTTCTGCTTATGTGCATTCACCTGTAAAAGAGAACAATCNTAAACCTGGTCTCATACTGGGTAACAGTCATGGAACCCTACTGGAGATGCTCAAACTACCTCCGATAGATCTCCCTCTGAGTAACGGGAAGAAACTTACTCCAAGATAGCTGAGTAAACTGCTCCCAAGTCAAAGCTGGCGATTCG